TAATTTAATTAATTTTATTGGTACATTTTAGGTATTGGACTTTTTAATTTTTATTTATTTATTTATTTTGAGACCAGTTCTTGCTATGAAGTCCAGGCTGAACTTCAACTTACTGTGTAGCCCAGGCTGGCCTTGAACTTGAGCAAGCCTCCTGCATCAGCCTTCTGAGTGCTTGGATTACAGGCATTTGCCATCATTCCCAGCTAGGGATCTTGGTTGGAGATTTTTTTAAGAGTAAGGAATATTATTGAAGGAGAGCCAGCTTCTGCCAGAGAGGGACTGGAGGGGACACCCAGAAAGTGGGGTGCCTTTTTAAGGACCTTTCAGTTAGCTTCTGGGAACTTAACATGAGGACAGGATACTTGCAAATACCATAGTAGGGAAGGTGGGATCGGTGGGCGGTGGGTAGGAACACAGGAGGGTGAAAGGCCCTTGGGTAAGGAGCCAACAGTTGCATCTTTTCTCAGCTCCCATCTCCTACTTCTTCCCAACTCTTAACAGATTACCTTAAGATGGCAGAGTGAGCTATGGAAGCATTTGATTTCTCCGTAGGAAATTTAATTCACCCAGCTGAATTCTCTAGGCCATTAATTCCTTCCTTTATTCCTGGACACCTGTAATCAGATATTTTATTAGAATTCTCTGTTTAATAAATATTGTACCTTGCTAGTTTTGGACAGCTAAAGAATCAAGTGTAATCTGTGGAAGGGAGATGAGGCAGATTGACTAACTACTGGTTTTACATGACTGAATAGTTAAATCAGTGCTTTTCAAGGGGGTCGTTGGGTCATCTGAATTACCTGGCTCGCTCTTTACAAACAGTGATTTGGGGCCCCAGTCCTGGACTTCTGCCTCAAAATCTGTGGAGGATCCCAGAAATTTGTAGGACTTACATATTTGGAAATGATTCTCAAGCAAACCAATGTTTAAGAACACTTTTACAGTGTGCCTCTTACCAATATTTGTTAGACTTTAAAATCTGTCCCTCATCCTTCTACTCATTCACTTTATAAGTTACTGAACATTTAGACCTATATAACTTGCCATGGAATCTGAAACTGCCTTTCTGAATCTTTGTAGAGCTTTCATTCTGAGCCAGTTGTGTTTAGGATGTTGCTGGATATTGTGTAATAAAACCCACATTCTTTCTTTCTTCTGAAGACCAGGGAGCCTTGCAGAACTGTCATGATAGTTTGGCTTTATTCTCAGATTTAAATTCTTGAGATTGGAAGTCTATCAGTGGTTCTTTTAGATCAGATGGCGTACATTACCATAATCTATCTTCATCTAAATTTAGGTCTAAACTGGTTAAGCCAAATTATTAGACAATATTCCTTTGCATTCTGTGCCTATATATTTTTTAGGCATAGCACCTTTTTATTAATCAGGATTTAGCATCTGAGGATTTGATGAAAGTGAATATGTCTGTTTTTAATTGTAATTCTGATTTATTTTTCCTTTCTTCTTGTCTTTATACATCCTGCTTCTCAGTATTCAGAAAAAAATAAAATAGCAGTACATGGCGTGGAGGATTTCAGTCAGTGAAGATGTTGGGTGACCAGTTTAAGGGGCGATTAAAAAGCTATGGAATTGACACTTCGATGTACAATACCTCCCTGTTTTCCGAACTTGTCTAGTTTCAGTGTTTATATGTCTTAGATCAATCCCACAAGCTAACAGTGGGCTGATTGATTGTGGTACTGGGGTTTGAAACCAGGGCCTTCACACTGAGCTACATCCTCAGCCCTTTTATTTTCACACAGGGTTTTGCTAAGCTGTCCAGGCTGGGCTTGAATATGTGATTCCCTTGCTGCAGCCTTCTCAAATTTTGGGATTATGGGACTGTGCCACCAAGCCCAGCTTGGTTTTTACATTTTTAAATAGTTTTACATTATAAGTAGTTATACACATAAGTACCTGCATTATAATGTGTGTGTGCCAAGGCCTGGGGATTGAACTCAGGGAGCACTGAACTCCTCCCAGCACTTTTATTATTTATTTTAGACAGGGTTTCACGGAGTTGTCTAGACTGTCTATGAGCTTGCAGTCTTTGTCTTAGCCTTCCAAGTAGCTGCATTTTACTGGTGTGTCCCACCACACTTACGTGTTCTTAGTTTTTGCCTTTGACTTGAAAAGCCTAAAATATTTTTTGTTTCTTTTCTTCAACCTCTGTCTTAGATAAATATACTTTTGGTTATCTATAATAAAGAATATACATAAGATATAATCTCAGGAAGATCTTTGGAGATATTGTTCTTCTGAGCATAATTCCTTTTCATGTCTCAGGGCATTGAAGTAAAGTTTTTTTGTTTTTTGTTTTTTGAGACATGGTCTCACTATGTAGTTGAGACTGACCTGGAACTCGTTATGTAGCCCAGGCTAGTCTCAAACTCCCAGCCATCCTCCTGCTTCAGCCTCCTGAGTGCTGGGATTATAGGCGTGCGCCTCCATACCTGTCTTAAAGTTTTTTTTCTTATTCTTGAGCAAAAATGAGATTGAATCTTATAGCAAGAAAGTCTGATATTTGATAAGCAGATATATTAGTTATTGTGTATGAAATGTAAATATGAAATAGTCTTAGAAAGATTCAGTAATAACTTCAATCTTCTCTGTGAAATAACTTTAAAAAAATTTCTTTACAGTTCCTGTTTCATCGTCCATTAAGGCTGTTAAATCTACTTATCCTCATCGAGGGCAGTGTTGTCATCTACCAGCTCTATTCCTTGCTGCGGTCAGAGAAGTGGAACCACACACTCTCCATGGCGCTCATCCTCTTTTGCAACTATTATGTTTTATTTAAGCTCCTCCGGGACAGAATAGTATTAGGCAGGGCATACTCCTACCCTGTCAACAGTTACGAACTCAAGGTAAACTAGCTGCCTCTCAGCAATGAGGGAGAACTCAGATAGAAATATTTTCATACATTCTATTTTTTCTTGCAATTTTTATAATATTTAAGATATTTTATATTTTGTATACTATTATGTTTTGAAAGTCGGGAAGGGTAAGGGATATTAAATGTATCTGTAAACAAGGTGATGTGATCTTTCATGTGTTAGTATATATGGGTAATATACCTAGGAAGAGGTGTGTCTCGCCAGTAAAAGGATTGATTGTTATTATGGCTCTGCAGTCATTCGTTCAGTTATCCCTAGACACAGTAACTTTGGCATTTGCTGTCCTTTCTGTCACACTCGTGATCTTATCATGAGTGCTCAGCTGGTCAGTAATTACTGCTACAGAAAGAGAGAGGTGCATAGTCACCTTCTGTCACCCAATCTCTTGCTTCAGCTGGGTAACAGTGTTAGAATAACTACAGAAAAGAGTGGGCTAATGTCCTATGTGGGGCTCTCCCTTACACTGCTCAGAGGAAGGCTTTCTAAAATGGAGTTGCAGCTGGCCTAGTCTCTCTGTGACATTTAAAGATAATTTTTTTTCTTTTGGTACTGGAATTGAACTCGGGTCCTTGTGCTTGCAAGGCAGGTGGCGGAACCACTAAGCTAAATCCCCAGCCTATTTAAAGTTAATTTTGAGAGAGCTTTTATCTTGAGGCACACAGAGTTTTGCCATCACTTTTTCTGTTCGTTCACTTCTGCTTTCAACTATTTTCCTTGTAGTTGTTTGAAAGAATACTTTTCAGGGGCAGAAAGTCTTTGGAGTGCTCATATTCATGAAGCTCTTGAAGGAGATCACGTTTTGCTAAATCTGTGAGAGAAGGCAAGTGTAATGTCATGTGGGCTACTAGAGTATGGGTAGATTGAAAACACCAAATGATTGAAAGAATGGGCCCAACCTGCAGCTAAACAGTCTTGATGCAGTCTGGCAGCAACCCACTTACAGTGGCGTTCTGTTTGGAGTTACGAAGAGTGGAATACAGGAAGGTACCGCTTTGTCTTCAGAGATTTTTTTGATGGGGGAGGCTGAGACAGGCTTTGAACTCATTTTGTAACCCAGGCTGCATGTGAACTCGAAGCAGTCCTGCCTCAGCCTTCCAACTGCTGAGATTACAGATGTGTGC